CAAGAATGCCAGCGACACCTTTGCTGTGCCCATATTAGAAAGCCAGCCAATTTGCCTGGTAATACACAAGATTTTGAAAGCTCAGCGTTATGTGTTTGGACATTACTCATCCCTAAACCATCAGGGGTCACAGCAGAAACACATGCCACATGATTTTGTTTTGTCACCACTGCTGATGGAAAGCAAAATCTGTGGTCACTACATTAGAATCCAATGCTATAATTGGATTTTTATCATTACTGATAATTAATTATTAATGCTATTTGGTGCAATGTCAATTAAACTATGACTATGTTGCTTTAATTAAAATATTGAGCAAACAAGTCTTGTTGGGGCAGTGTTACACATAATTCTGAGTCTCTTCCCGTTTTGAGTAATATACTAAAACTCTGGTGCCTTGGGCTGTTTTGGAAAGCACATTGCTGTCATGCTATATTGGGGATAGAAAATAGTCAAAGATCACATGGACACACGTAATGCTTCTGAGAAAAGAGGAAAATCAGTCGACTGAAACAGCTGTTTGCTAGTAATGCCCTCAAAAAAATCATGAGTTGTTTTTTCTTTCAGGAAACCAGTGGCCTTATAAGCTGATTCAACGAGACACAGAATGCCTCTAATGCCTTGGTAATATCTTTGACAGCTGTCAAGCAGAACATGAAGGCTCCCTCTTCTAGCTCCATCTATTTGCTCCACTCCAACAAAAAGAGGCAGAATATTCTTTGACAGGTTGAATAGGGTTTCACAAGCTTGGCATAAATATATCCTCCTGACGGGCTTGGAGTTGTAACTTAAAAACTGGTCACAGAAAACAGCAGAAGGATTTACATAATATTTGCTGTAGGACCCCTGAGGAAGAAATACTCAGACTCGTGGCCCAGGTTTGAAAGAACAAATGAAGACCAAGGATAGATGTTGCTTGAGGCCAGAAAACAGAAACAGGAGGGCTGCGTGCTGTTTGATTTCCATACCAAGTGGTCGACCCTAATCAGCACATTGTGGTTATGATGATTAGTTATTAAGATATTTTCCTCCTGGCATTAACTCCAATTCAGCTCAATATGGCCTGATTTCATTGTTGCATTTCCCCTGATGAAGACAGACATGTTCAATCAGCCTCTGAATGGGCCGCATGTTAACAGACGGCCAGCATCTGATGACAAGGCCCGCCCCATTAGCTCCATAATCACACCAAGCGTCCCTGGCGGTTATGGATGACGCTGCTAAAGCGTAAGCTCGTGTGAGCAAACAGTCACACATCCGACAAAATAAACTCTGCTCACACCTCTGTCAGCGTCAGGTGGAGCATGAATTTAAGTCTTCAGGTGGAGCTCACTGGAACAGGCAGCAGCCTCACCAATGCATCTCAAATGAAGAGACAAATAACCCACTAAAAGCAGCAATTATACTTGATTACTTTGACAGAGTGTGCTTACTGCCCTGACTTACTCAGTCATCCATTAATCTAACCCGTGATGAGAAACAGAACATCTTTAATTAATACAAACTCCCCTTACTTAACATGCAGTTTTTTGCTTTCAGCTTATGCTTACAAATACTGCAGAATTTTAAGTGATGGGAACATTCAAAATCACTCCCTTGTTCACTACTTCCTATATTATAGACCATAGACTGCATATAAAAATTAACAACGTGCCTCTTCTTCCTCCCACTGTACAAAAATGAAGCCAAATATCCAGGATACATCCTAGTGATAGCACTAGCGACATCATTTGGAGCCAAAGTTTGCAGTGGTGATCTCTGCAGTATTAAGTTCCCACGTATTCTACCATCCAACCGAGCAGCGCCATTGATCATAAGCACATTTAGCCATCATCATGGTGTCAAATCCCCTTTTATAGCTTCAAATAACTAATTAAAGCCTGACTTACCAGATAAACAAACACTTGAACTTACATCAGTGTGATAAGAACTACCTAAAATGTCAGAAACCATCTTTGGGGGAGAATTATCTGCCTTTTACTATTGACTTTTTAGTGTGGTCCATGTCCCGTCTGCTTACATAGATGACCGATACTGCAGCCAGCCACCTGGGATGTTTCGGCTTTACTTTTGGGGAGCTGTCATGGAGTCCATCTTAATATACCATCTACATTGTAGGCACTCAATACTTAACACTATAGTGAGCAAGCAAAGTCAGTAAAATGAGGTTGCAAACACTTTTATAAACATCATTTTGTGTCACTTGACACAGTAAATTGTGTAACTCTAAGCAGCGAGCACTGTACACACTATGGATGCTGTTTTTTCATTCCATTGCAGTCATTTTTGAGGTCAACATGTTATGCATAAAATTCCCGCTCTGGGTTTGGACACTAAAATAAAAAAGGCGTACATTTATACTTTATAGTAGCCTAAATAATTAATGATTTCCAACACAGCCTACAACTGTGCACAGAAGCTTTCTGCCCCCACAAAGCCGTCAATCCAGAAGAGAGCTTCTCTTGTTGTCACATCCCCTCAATCTAATCCATTACTGCTACTCTTGACTTGTCCACTCAAGCAGTGCTTTTTCATCCGACTTCATGTGAACCGCAGACACTGACTTCTAGGTCAAAGGCGCTAATTGATATCCAATTTTAGAATCACAAGCTCAGACATCCCATTTCTTATTTTGCTGATTTAACATCCCTGCAATGTACTTTGTTAATAACTAAACAGCGGCTCAGTACTGTCAATTTCATGGACATGGTGGGTGCATCTGGTCTTATGCAACCCTGTCCCGCAATATCTGTTGTTTGCGAGGCTTGCAGAGGAATTTGCTCAACCTTCGATCACACCGCCCCACATACAGTACGTGATTATGAGTGTTCCAAGGCGGTGCATGCAGCTCCAGGACAGCCAGTCATGTAATTATTGCAGCGCCAAGCTCGCAGCAGGAGCAGAGAAACAGGTGACAGGCCAGATCAGAGCCCCCCTACTCTTGGCCTTCAACATCTGGCTGCATGGCACTCTCCCACCGCCGCTGCCACCCTCACAGTGAGCAGAACAGCTGGCCTGGGCAGCCCCCCCATCAGACCCTCTGCCAAGATCCTACACTTTGCACAGATCAACAGCTCCCCCGCCGCAACAAAAGGGATCACTGTGGCGCTTAGCTTACTGACATAGCACTATGGCTGTGTTGGCTGCCAAAGGATCTCACTTAAGCTCTCGTTGTCACTCTCACTGTCAACAATCATGGGGATAAATCAATCAAATGCAGCTGGGACAAGATCTAATCACCACCTCACTATCTCCACATACAACATGTGAAATATTCTCCAAAAAATATCCTGTGAAAGTGTGAAATATTGTAAAAATCAGTCCATCCATTATTTATAAACACCCACTAATTTCCCCAAGCGTTTTTAATTTAGGATTATCATAAGAAGGTTGGGCTGCGACAAATTATTTTCATGAACAACTGATATGCCATTTATTTTCTCAATTAATTGTTAAACTGTTAAATATGGTAAAAGGCATCCATCATTTTCCTTTTGCCCAAGAATACATCTTCAGTTGCTTGTTTTGCAGCACTAACATTCATAAACCTAAAAGATGTACAGCTGACTGTTGCATTAGACAAAGAAATGCAGAAAATCCTCACATTTGGGAAGTTGAAACTAGGTACTGTTGGGTATTTTTGACTGCAAAATTATAATAAATCAATTATCAAAACACTACTTGTCATTTTGACTAGTAATCACAGTAGTTTTACTCATTCATGTCAACCATACTGACACAACTTACTGACATATCAACTAAAAAATAGTTTGGGGAAATACTGAAACAAAAAAAAAAACAGCTTGATTGTGACATTTCCTTTAGTGCAAGACCATGAAATCATAAAGGACCAGGCCCGTTTGACTGCAACATAAAGATGGCACTCCTGAAAGTGCAAACATTTAAATTTTAAACAGTCTTGTAAAAGCAGGCTGTGGTTTTGGAAATGTTTTTGTCAAACAGGATTAGCCGGCGTTATGTCGACAGGACAGAGTTATTATATGGACCTCTGTGCTCGGTGAGTGTCTCCTCTCCCTTGTGTATATGCCCTGTTACAAGATTTCCATTAATGGCTCAATAATGTAGCAAACCACGTGTTTTCTGCCGTTGGGTAAGCACTTGTATATTCAACATGGACGGGGGTACCACAGCACACAGGAGGTGCAGCTAGCGATGTTAGCTAGCATGGCTAACACAGAGACAGGGAGGGACTGGGAGTGCGCCAGGCGAGCAGAGCTAATAGCCCGTGTGCTGCCTACAAACAAGCTTCACTACTGCTGTTGAGCTTTAGCCAATAAAACTGAAAAACAACTCGGTCTTTGGTCGGCAACTAAACATATAAATAGCTAGCTATACACGAAATAGACACGGTGACTCTATTCGGAGCACTTCCTTTAAACCCGTTCACACTTGTCTGTTTTAACACCTAACTTACCGTTTCGATTAAGCACACGTCAACGTAAACTTGTTCAACTGACTAAACCGCCAAACAATACGGTGATGCTGTTTGTACAAGTAACACAAACAGACATGCTGAGTTGTTGTTTTAAAAGCTAATCGATGCTGTTTTTCTGGTCCGATACCGAAACCTGTGATCTCCCGAGGCACATGTCACTTGACTATTGTAGCGCGCCTCGTATCCGACACCGAGGCTAGCAAACTGCGTTTCCCCCCTGTCCCTCCGAGTAATATGTATTAGCCTCGATTGTGTGTGCTCAGCTGTAGTTAAGAGTCGGTTAATATCTACTTAACCGACTTCTTTTGAGGTTAGTTCCGTTATTAGCCAAGTTAGACAAACTACTTCAACTCCAGGTGAGCGTACGGTCCACTGCTCGTTTGGCTAGCAACGTTAGCATCCCCGTTGGCAGTTAAGCTAACGGTAGCTAACTCCCAACTCGCCTTGAACTGTGTTGTTTTTCCGCTTAAAACACTCGTAAATGTTTGCGCTGCTAACAAAGGGAGACGTGAACGCGACGCAGATCGATAGTTGGATTACTTACATTGTGTCGCTCGAAGTCATTAACCGACTTTCGGTGAGAGGGTGGAAATCCAGGTTGTACGCCGAAGTCATGCTCAAAACAACGTCTATCTAACAATGAGACGTCCGCTCACTCGCAAGAGGCTCAACTCCTGCGAGACGGGCGACAAGACGAAGCAGAACAGGTGCAGGGAGGGGGCGTCTTCTTCAAAACTGCATGAGAGAGAGGGCACCGGTATCCGCCTCGCTTCTTCCTCCTAATTTCTCTCGCGTCCCCGACTGAAATAAATTCAGGCGAGCCCGCTGTCACACTGCACACCGAGCTGCAGCAAACCAGAGGCGTGGCCTTTTCAACAAAAGTCTGAAACCATGCTGCCTTCTGCTGCTGCTGCTGCTGCTGCTGCTCAGCGAGCCTCACAGCGCCTCTGCCCCGATGTAAAATCACTGTAATGCCTCTATAGGGACTGGCACGTGGTGTCATATACAGAGTTTAGTGACCTATTTGTAGTTTGTGATGGTGCAGCTCCTGTGGCATCACCATTATATTTTTTATAATGACTGATTCTGCAGCACTCTCACACGCAAATGGCACATTTAGAAGAGTCAGATCCTCATTAGCTCCATTGGTAGGTCTGTGAATCTTTAAATATAGCAACCAGGTTACTATCATCAAGATTAATAATGCTGCTCTTGTTTCCATATTTTCTCAGGACTCCAAATGAGGCACCTGCTTTTCTTTTAAATTGGATTACACAAATACACAAGGCTGTTTCCAGCTTGCCTTACAATGCAGTTAGGTCCATAAATCTGTTCTTATCAAAAGTGGGGTGGTTAAAATGCAGTTTTTCCTTGCTGTCTTCACTCAGGGTCATAGGTCATGGGTTCCCCTTTGTGCTGGGCTGTTGTTTCCCTGGGGGAGGGGGAAGCTTATCTTCTTTTGTTGCTGGACTTGCAGGGCGAGGCCTCTACACTTGGTGGGGAAAGGTGTGGGGGGGGGGGCGTTGTCAAGTGTTTGCCATAGCAGAGAGTCAGGGGGGGCTATGCTAATTGTCAAATCAGTCATAATTGCTCCAGCAGCTGCGCAATCCAAAAATATTATTCATAGCGAGTGTTAAGAAACATCCCATTCATGAAATCTGATTTAATCCTTGTATCCATAGCAATTTCAAGGCAACTTGGCACCAGTGCAGAGTATGCTCTATTAAACAGTGCCTAAAAGAGGTTTGTATGCATAATGAGATATGCGACCTATTTTGCCATACATGCAGACGAGCCCACTATGCAACATGCATTACCATTAAGCTCGAGGGGCTGCTATAAAAAGCTAGTCTAAACCTCTCTGGAGAATCAGGTTTCATTAAAATGGAGGAAAAATACAATAATGTCATCCCATCTGCAGCATCCACATATTTCCTTTGACTCAATTAGATCTCAGGGGATCTTATTGAATAGATTTGTTAGAAAAGGAGCAGGATTCTTATGGAGAGCGGCTCCTGTTTCTCTCGAGGGTATGTAAAATATACGGCACAGTTTGTCCGTACAGTTCACAATGCCATCAGTTTATGCTTCTCCTTGTCTTTTCTTAGAGATGTTAGTTGGCGTGGATTCTAGAGGCTGATGCCTAGTTGTTAGCACCTTCTAATACGAGCCTCCTTTTCTTAATCTCAGATTATTACTACTGTAATCCCACCATAATCCTCCACACGTACCATGCTTTTGTTGTTTACATCAAATGTTTTCCCCTCATGCTTGTCTCACCCATCATCATCATCATCATCATCATCATCATCCAGCATTTAAATTTGTACCCCTTCGTGACAAACTGCACAGTTTAAAAATAGGCCAGCTTCAATCCCAAATGGGCCACATCATGTCTTTTTGAGCACGTCGTCTCCAACTTGGAGGCACACTTTTTTTTTTTTTATCATCAGCTCTGCCTTTCATGAGAGCGTTTGCAGAATGGCGACCAACCAAAAGGCTCTCAAAATGGAGAGAGAACTTCATTTTATCATGCTTTCTCTCCAGAGGAAATCTGCTGGGTCAAGATGTACCGAGCACACAAGATAACAGCGTCTTATCAGGTTCCAGTTCCTCTAAATTTATGCAAATTCCAAGATGGATGTAAATGTCGTTTTGTTCTTTTAAAGATAATTGATATCTTTTGTGGTGTTTTACTGAGGGAGTACAGTAAGTCCTGGGCTGGTCTCAGTAGAAAGGCCTATCTTATCACACGGGTTTGTCCTTTTTCATTTCAGAGACAAACACCTGCATCACTGACAGATTCTCCTCTCTTTATTTGTAGTTCATGCAAGTATCTGAGCCAGTGTGGAACTTTGCAGAGAGAATGAAGGTAATGATGTGAGAATGCTATAAGGTATTGATTTTTCTATTCTGACACAATTTAAAACTAATCCACCACCTCCTGATTGAATCATTTCAGTCTTGGGAAGATGGTATTGAAATGAAAGGCCAAATTAATTAGATTCAAATACATGGTTTCTGGGATCCTAGAGGGAAAAAAAACATATTGGGACACCAGAGGAACACCACCCTGCCCACAGTCACACAGTCACAGCATGAGAGAACGCCTCAACTGGAAACAATACATCCTATGACAATATTCAGCCCAGACAAAGAAGCAGTCCAAATACGGGCTGCTCCACAAAAGCTAGCCCAGATTTGAATGAGGGGCCAACCCCAACGTACCTCATAGGCAGGTCCTCATTCCTGACAGAGATCCCGGCCGCAGAGGGGGGACAGCGCATGCTGTTGGCATACAAACTCTGCACCAGGGCCAGCTCAGAAGAGTGTTCCAACATCGGTGCTCTGGAAAAATCCACCCGGTGTAATGGACACTTTCTTCTCTTTCCCTCTTTCCTCTACGTGTTTCTCTCCCTTTCTCTGTCTCCCGCCCACTCTTTCTCCTCGGTTTAGTGCAGCAGAGCGGCGCCCACCCCCTTCGCTGACTGGCGTGGCTGAAATAATCCTCTCTGACAGCTCATCGTGCGCTAATGCATTGTGCTGCCTGCGGCAGCCCAGTTTGCAGGCTGTAAAGCTGTGGCCACAGTAGCACTCTTTCACTAATTGACACCCATATTAGGAAAACTTCAGCAAATTGGACATGGATGATTTATTCCCACTGTCAGATTGGGGGAAATTAGAGGAAACATCGACACAGTTGCCACAAGATCTCATCCACAAGTCCTGGTTTTGTGGCACGCTCCTGTGCATGTTGGCATGTATGAATCAGTGAACTGCTCCAAATAAAGGCCAAGGAAAGGCACACTCCTGCAAAGGGGGTTTGTCAAGCTCGATATCCTAAAAACTCTCCCCTTCATAAGTATTTTTAACATGAAACACTCTGCTTATCATCACCGAGCACCTGTACATACACAGGTTAATACTGCAACCATTCTGTATTCAGCTCTTGTAGGGACGTACATGTCACTGTCCCTCCATGAGCTGGCTGATGATAAACCAGAGGGTGACAGGTAGAGAGCTGACAAGCCCCTGTCATTATTATTCTGGAGTGGATAGGGATAAAGATAGCCTGCTAGAATATAAGCGCACATAGAAGTCAGCATGTTAAATAAGGACAGGTTACAGTACAGCCCCGGCTCTTCACAATTTCAGACTGAAGCCAATCTACCACTGATAAACCTGCAAACACTGCCTGTGACTCTGCTCCAGGCCCACCTATGAGCCCACCTACAGTACTCCAAAGCATCATGACGTGCATACAATTCTGCAGAATGATCTAAGATACAAAATGGTTCTCCACATTACAATGAAATTACTGGAAACCTGAATCATCAACGGATGACCTATTGAAGAGGCTCAACAACAGAGTGCTTTAAAACAACACTCATTGCATGTTAATTTGCATTGGACAGAGCTCATTTGCCTGTGTTCTGAGCCATACAGCTGGGAACACGGTGGAGGCATGTTTTGCTGTCACTTTGCCACGAGATTAAAAATTCGAAAGCAATTTGTCACAATGATCTTTGCACAAAACCCAGGAGAAATCAAATCTAGGCCTCATCCTCCCATAGGTGCTGTGTCCTGTTAGAGTAATGTGACATTAAGTAGGAAAGTCATCGGAAACAGGGTCACGGCGGTGTGTGCTCGTATCATAGCTGAGAAGACCAGTATGAAGGGGTTCCACTTCCTCTGATCATCACGGCACAAAAACCCCTCTTCATTTCAGCCGCTGCTCTTTTCTGCTGACATGAATATTTTAAACACTGATGTTGAAACCCAGCTCTTTATGATGTGTTGCTGCTTAGTATGACTGTCAGTGCTACGGGCATCATGTTGAGCACAGAATCTCAGAGAGCTCTGATCTAACAACATGTAAGAGCATAAAAAAAAATGCTCAGTATGATCATACAGTGTGCACGCATGCTCTCCAGCTTAACCCTCATTCTAAAGAGGTTGCAGAGGTAAAATAATACACCACAAAATGGCACGTGAATGCTGCGTAGAACGCATGTGTAGCTTGTGAAAGCTGCAGCAGCAAAGATGCATTGCTGCGAGAAAACAACCACATCCTGTTTAAGTCCACAGTGAAGAGAAAGGTGTTGTTAGCAGGTCTCAGTGCATGAAGAAATAACGCATCCATGCATGTCATATAATAAGTCAAATAGCAACACATGTTTATGGCGCTGCAGGTGGCCTCCTGATGAGTGAAAGCAGCCATTAGCTTTCCCTTTTTACCACTTGTGGGTTCTCTTGGGACTGATTGCACAAACAAATACCGTCTGTGTTTATGTGGATTAAAACTGAAACTGTTCCGAACGGATGCACATTGTGTTCTGCACTAATGCACAGCGCTGCACAACGTGAGTTTTGACATTGAAGAAGTTAAATTCATATTCTGCATTACATCAGAATTAAAACTGTTTATGAGGCAGAGTAGATGCATCTGAACAAGGTGGAAACATTCTTTACCTTATAAGAAATAAAGACTTTATCCTCTTTATGTCAGACGTGGCAGAGCTCTATCTTTGCTGGCACTGGGCAGCAAAATTTATGATCCAACAGATGCTAGCAACAAGCTCCGACTGTACGAGACCTGACACCAGCATGTGTGATTGAAGAGGGAGAGAGACAGTGAGTGCAGTTAGCATTTTAGCATTAGAGGAAGCAGCTATCTATGACCTGCTTGACATTTTAATTTGCACAAAGTCTCATCGGCCTCTCAACAATAACCTTTGGGTTAAAACTTCACTTATCTGCAAACAATTCATCACGGAAGTGCTGCATCACGCATTTATTTATTAATATACTCTATTTCTGACTCTGTGTGAAATGACTGTTCGTGTGGGCTTGCATGAGTGGATGCGTCTCGT